CGGTTGCCGCGTTGAATGCTCTGAATTTGATTAAGAAAGTAGCATCAAAATGGATTTTGGCATCAGGTGTTTTAAGGAATACTTTGTTAAATGCCCAGTCTCTTAAAATTTTGGAACAGCAAAGTGTCTTTCCGATTCCGGGACGACCAACAATCAACACTTTTCTGTCTTCGTTGTTGACAATGTCCTCCAGCCCTCTAGGTGTTATGTTTTTCTCACCCGATCTGGCGTAGACTGCCAGTTTCTCCCATCTGTCTCCAGAAAAGTCATATTCGGCTCTGTCTGGAACAACGACAAGTTTTGTGTAAATCTGATCTAGAGTCAAATGTTTAGCTGGGCGTCCTTCGCCGGGAGTACTTGAAAAAGGCGACCGGAGTTGGGGAGGCTGATTTGTCTCGTCTTTAATAATTTTTTTTGTATTCTCGATGAATTCCTGAAGCGGTGGTTTTTGGAGTTGTTCAGGCTCGCTTGGCAGACGTGGAATTTTCGTTTCATGGTCTCTACTTTCCTCTACCTGGTGAAGTTCTTGTGGGACGTTCGTTCCTTCTTCTTTTCTTTCTTCTCGCTGCTTAGGTTCTTGTGGGAAGTCTCTTTCATGCTCCGTTCTTTCTATTTGCTGCTGAGGTTTTGGTTTTAACTCTGTCGAGGTGATAGCATTTTGCGAGTTGCCATGGGAGGGTTTCAGGTGAGCTTTTAGAAAGTTAGAATTTTTCATAAAACTATTTTCTTTCCACGCACGTAGAAATAAATAGACGGTTTCCATCAGAATACCAAATAGAAAAATTCCGTTCACGATAAGGACAGCGCGCATCCAAGAGCTTTTCTTAGTCGCTCGTTGATTATGACACTCGTATGGGGAGTTTTGTATGACGCCAGTAGAATTCCTTGGCTGGTTCTCGCCAGAGGTTGGATAACAAGAAAAGCTGGAGGGAAAGTCCAGAGGATAAAGAACCTGAGTTTGTAGGACCATAAAGAGAACTCCTAAAACAATCCTCGTGAAAAGTTGACAGCAGTAAGTGATAAACAGCTTTCTTCCAGCCTTCTCTTGGTCGGGCGACTGTCTCTCGAGATCACCGTTACGAGCGCTTAGCGACAGTTGATCGACTGTGGGGCTCACTATTCGGGAGTAAATAGCACAAACAGTTCCAATGAGGAAAAAGTTCATGATTACGAAGCCATAGGTAGGAAGAGCGTGTCTATTATACTGCTTCTCGTATAACTCGAAACATTTTCCACGGACTAGGTCGATGTTTTCACTCTTCGCCACGCCACAGCGGAAATCATACCTGGATTCGCCGTTTTCTGCGTCTGCAAAAATGCCAAGGAAGATTACACCGATCAGGATCCAAATAACAACTGCGGCATGGCTAACTTTGTTAAATGTTTTTGGTGCAATTAATTCCTTGAGATTATCCATTGTTAGCGTTTGTATTCTCACTGTTTTCGATTAGATGAAAATCGCATTATGTCGCAAGTTGAAATAATGAAAGAATAATGTCATTGCTCCAGATTTTATGGTTTATTTATGGAAAGAACAACAAGTTCTATTCTTGGCAAAGTTACGGCTGCCAACGAGAAAATGTTTTGTTTACACATGCCATCTTTTTCTCGAATATTCAGGAAGCTGATATGGGAAACTGAGACAGGAAACTGAAATGGACACATGTGCTGCTAGATTTAATCAGAACAAATAGACAATTGCAAGTATGGCGAAGACTTTTGCTTTCTAAGGCAAATAGAACGTGGCTTGTAGTAGCTTCACCACAAAAGAAATAATGACTTATCACTAAACATTTACCTTCACCACCCTCTTCCACCAAGGCCAAAGTGATTTACTGACTAAGTGTGTGCCTCCAAAATCCTGCTCAGGAGCTAGGGAATTTTATCAGGCTTCTTTTCTGCGATTGCTTTCATTGCAGTTAGCCTCCAAAAATCTTTTCTCAAATTCTACCTTACTGGCACTTAATTTCACGGATACGGCATTTCGCGGGGTTTTATTTTCGTGATTTCAACCGACAAGGCCAGCAATTATGAGAAAAGGCATTAAATCTCGCGCCGATTTAAGCGTTCGGAACTTCATTGCTTTTAATTTTAAATTGTCTTTACTTTTGACGACTGCTCCAAAGATGTCCTAAAGAAAACGGATTTTGAGTCTTTTACATGTTTGATTTTCTATTTTGTTGCTTCTAGGCGTTGTTTTCCTAGCCGCTTTTCATTAATCTACAGAACAACCTCCAAAATCGTACACCCCCTAAATATTTTCAAAATTAATATTCTCCTTTTAAAAAACTGGAAACCGAAAAATGCCTCCAACAACAACAAAATATCTCGGTTTTAAATGACAGCCGCTTTTTTCTCAACAAATTTCGTTGAATTTTAAAACTCGTGCGTTTGAGCCCGCGTCATTCACAGTATGCCTGTGACGTAGCATTTCGTTATTTAGCTCTGCCTGCTCGACCCCGTTCCAGGCCTCTCGCCGACTGCATAATACCATGACTCTCTTGCGGGCAAAGAAAAACTCGTGCCTAAGCGACGATGGCCTTCTCACAGGCTGCACAAAAATCAACATCTGGAATTCACTTTTCCGCATATTCAATAAGCCTCGTTTAGTAACATTTTGGTAGCAAAAATATAATAGACCACACACTGCTGCGCTCACTGTTGGTTCAGAAGGTTAATTTGGTTAACTTCAATTGCATACTCTTGGTTGAGATTTTTGATGGACATTTTCCCTTGAGCGGTGTCAACCGAGCTGTGTGCGACGACTCCCTGACCGGCATAAAATGCTCCCTTAGTGTTCCATCTTAAAACTGAACAAAGAAAGTATGTTTCTAAAGAAACTGTCATGTCATACTGTGTCGATGGAGATATTAAACATAATTTTGGTTTCATCAACTGAGCTGATAATGTAAATTGGTGTCTAGAGAAATTTCTACAGGTGACATCTCGAGCTCTACGCTTTCGTTAGAGCGAAGGCCCCTTTTTTTTTCAAACTGATTGCCTGTGAAATTTTGTTGCATAATCTTTGTGGACTTACTCTGTAAAACTCTGAAACGAGATCTAACATCACGTATGGCGACTTAGCACCCACTTACTAAATTTCAAAGCAAAAACAAGTGTGTATTGATGCTCAAAATATAAAATATTATAAGCCGAATTGAGTAATCAGAATAACATTAATTAGTCAGTTTACAAAATTTTATTTACAGAATGATTGAGCACCCCAAATTGTTTTTCGACAAGGTGAGTTTCTGTAATGAGACTTTAAAAAAAGTTATCATATAAATGATTTAACTTGCATCTACAGGTTATTTGTCACAAAAACTCGCTCTGGATATTGTTCAGCAGTATTGTGTAATGCGACAGTATTTTGCAATTTATAGTTCAAACAAGAGCCGGTAAGTTTGTTTGTAAAGTCTGCGGTTAAAAATACATTAACCTTAATTACCCGAACAGTCATTCTGTTTTTCATTTGCGATCTAAAAATTAGCCATCTTTCCTATATGCTATTTACTAACACGAACCTTTCAAAACTGTTGATCCTAGCAGTATGCTGGACACTTGTTACATAGAAACCTACAAATGGCCTCGCAAGGGTCTCTGTGAATCAGAGGAGAGCCGCAGAACGAAGGTCTGAGGTTCGATTTCCCAGGGGGGACTTTGAATTTATTTTCTTCACTCCTGTTGTTTTCTTGTGCAATCTGTTTTAGTTCAGACGATGCATCCTCTCGTTTTCGCGGTTTCTGAATTGAAGCTTGAAATTTTCCTTCCTGATCTTTGAGTTGAGGTTATTTGTCACA